GACAGCTCACAATTCAGTTCCCAGCCCCCACAGTGGACAGCTCACAACCTGAAACTCTAGTTCCATGGTAACTGATGTCCTCCTCTGCTTCACGGGCACCTGAACACATTTATACAAATATACATAATTAATAAAAATAAGAATAAATATCTGTTTAGCAATAGGTCTGGAGATGCAGCTCAAAAGATAAGGTGCTCACTTAACATGGACGAAGACCCAGCATCTCATAAATGGAGCCCAGTGGTACACACCTCTAATCCCAGCACATGGAAGGTAAAGGCAAGAGGATGAAAAGTTCGAGGTCATCCTTAGCTACATAGAAAGTTTAAAGCTGGGCTGGAGGGATGGCTCAATGGTTAAGAGCACTGACTGCTCTTCCAGAGGTCCTGAGTTCAGGTCCCTGCAACCACATGGTGACTCACAACCATCTGTAATGGGATCTGATGCCCTCTTTTGGTGTGTCTGAAGACAGCGACAGTATACTCATCATATATATATATGTGTGTGTGTGTGTGTGTGTGTGTGTGTGTGTATACATATATCTATATGAAATAAAATCTTTTAAAGAAAGAGAGAGAAAGAAAGCAAGAGAGAGAGAGAGAGAGAAAGAAAGAAAGGAAGAAAGGAAGTTTAAAGCTAACCTGGGTTACTTGAGACATTATCTCAAAAAAAAAAACCTAGGAATGATTTTAACTACAGAATGAAGGATATTTGGGGTGAGAAAGTACAAAATATTGAGAAGAGATTTTAAAACACAAAAAGATGAAAAAAATCCCATGTGTATGAATTAGAAGAATTTGTCCACATTGAAATATAATAGCAGTTTTCATTTAAAAAATATTCTTTCAAATCCTAAAACGTATAGGCAGTCAAAAGAAACTCCAAATATTTAAACAATCTGGAACAAAAATGAGAAGGAAGAAGGTGTCTCAGTAAGTAGCACAGGTCTCCATACCTGGGAGAGGAGCACAAACCTGGGATCACAGAACTTGGGGAGACTGAGACTAGGGGTCATGCATGAGGGACAAGCCAGGCTTTATAGCAAGATCCTGACTACACACACACACACACACACAACTGCTGTAATCCAAGCAGCATGGTATCAGAATATAGAAAAACAATAAGCCAGGGGAATGAATGCAGAACTCAGAAACCCATTCTCACAGGTAACAGATTTTCAACAAAGGCACCAAGGAGAAACAAAAATGATATCTCTCTGATAAATGTTATTGCTTGGGAAACTATGTGCAAAAGAACAGTCCATTCTAAATGTATGTACTGGAGACCTGAATGTAAACTATGAAACTGCTAGAAGAAAACAAAAAAGAACACTTTAGGACTTGATATGAGCAGGGTTGTTTTCATGTATTAGACCCCAAACGACAAACAACAAAGCAAAGCTAAATGGTGTGATGACTAACCGTGGCTGTCAACTAGATGGTGTGGTGGCTAACCTTGGCTGTCAAATAGATGGTGTGGTG